CCCCTAGCTAATACATGCAAATTTAAATATGTGAAAGTCACATGTTTAACAGGTTGCAAGACGAAGCTTCGGGGAAATTTTTACACTCATGGTGTATCAATTAGTTTGCTGTTTGTGGTCATACATCACAGCTGTTGTTGTTGTCACAAATGTTGGATAATTTTTTTTTTTTAATTGATGCTTCATGGTGATAGTATTTAAGGACATTTTCCTAAAATCCTCTTTTTCCTCATGTGTTTTTTTTTACATCCAGGGCAAGGTAAAAAAGAAAGTTAAAAACAATAGTCTTGTGATCTCAGGTGTGTCCAGTGCATTCTTTGGATTTGAATATAAACAAAAACCTCACTCTCTTTCTTTTACTGCTGCTTGCAAAGGTAATGCCTAACAAAAAGCACAAATCTTGGAGGACACCTTTTTTTTTTTTTCTTTCATCCAACTTTCTTGGACATAAATATCCCATAGAGAAGCGGTGAATTAAATAGCTCATGCAGTGGCCTTGTTCATTAGTAATAAATTACATATGATCATAATTGTATTGATTAGCAGTAGAAAATAATGAAAATAATTGTACATGGAATGAATTTGTTTCTGGTGGGACAGACATTTTTGATTAATTTAAACTTTTAGGTATATATTACTCATGGGTCAACTGAAAAGCTTATTATCTAGTAGTACAACTTGTATTATTGTATTATTATTGCCTTAAAAAAGAGGAAATAAACCTGACAAGCTAACTTTGATTTCTATCAGCAGAGAATTTTTTTGCTTTGAAGCAGTGCATAGTAGTTGATAACTATCTTGCAAAATTTGCTAAATATTAAGATATACAGGTCACAAGTAAAATGGGAATATACTAAATGTACTGAGACAATAAATTGCCCGATTATTGCATGTTTTCATTTTGTGCCCCTCTGTAGTTGTTTTCTGTAATCTAATGGAATTCAGAAGAGCAGATTTTTCCATTTGTATATTTGGTTGTTTTTGGTTGAGGCAGCAAAGTACCAGAAAAGATTTCAAGGATCAGCTGGCAGCGGGAAAATGGCAAGAGGGTGTCACACCACTAGCCAAGAGAGAATAATGTTTTTACCAATGCTGAACAGAAAGAACTCCCGATTTGTGGATTTTTAAATAATTACAATAGCTTGAGAAGAATAAAATATCAAATAAACTAAAAAGCAAAACACATACCAACAAATGTGGCATTTGCAGTTATCTGATATTGCTAAAAAGTGCTTTGGCACTTGTGTAGTGACACATGCTGATGTAGTTTTGAGTATGGATTACTTATATGGTTAATAAAAGGACATTTACATATAAAATGGAGGTTTAAAGGTAGAGCAAGTGATGTAATAAGGTTATGAGATGGCTATAAATCTGCTAATTTATGTTTTTTCTGGTTTTTCTGTTGTGCTTGCACATTTGAGTTCAGCCTGAAACTTGGGCAAAGTAATGAGTCCATGAGGGTTTGGCTCGTGCAGTCTTAAATACATTTTTCCTTTGATTTGGGGGAAAAATGGGGGGAGTTCGATTTGGAGATGGTGTGAGGGGAAAAACTGCATTTGGAATAAGCGTAGGAATAAAAGCACCACTGTGCAAGTGGTTTTAATCTGGTCTGGACTGTATGATTTGGCCAAAAATGGGGTTGGGAGGGGGGGG